AAAGTGGAGGATGGAAATTTCTTCCCTGTCGCATCTCTTCCCTGTCATGTTCCTGAATTGATAGAAGATCCGACACTCTTCCGAGGGAAATTGAATCCGGAAGTGGAGTGAGAGATGTCGACTGTAAACAACCATGGGAGAACTCTGCATTCCCGTGCTCACTGCCCATGTGGAAGAAGTCTTGAAGATTGATATCAGGAACCACACCCCGCTGGATATAAGCCACTGCCAGGATAACATGCACACCCTTGTTTTCCCATCTTCTCTCCCCACCCTGAAACCCAGATTGATAAAGAATGGCTCTACCTGTAAGAAATCATATCCTATGCTCCTCATTGTGTCCTCATGGGGTGCTAGTCCAATGACAAGTCTGAATCAGTGGAAGTAAAAGACACTTCAAGGATCTCCTCTAAATGTAATGCGGTTTCTCAAGGAGTCTGAAATCTTGCTCAATTGTTATAGCTATGGAGTTCCCAAGCCTAGGGAACTTGGACCATGAAATACAAGAAAATCAAAGGGCACTGGACAAGACGCCTGAGGATGACCCAAGCTACCCTGAAAGATTGACAAGGCTAGGGGTATCTCTTGCCTTGCGACTTGACAGAGTGTATGACCCAGAGTGTGTCCAAGCTGCAGTCAATGCTTTACAGAAGGCCAGAGGGCTGCTAGCTGAAAGGCATCCACTCACAGTGGAGATACTGGGTAGTCTGGGTGCATGTTATGGCTGGAGATTCCAGAGACAGGGGGAGCTACAGGACCTGGAAAACTCTATTGAAAAATTTCAAGCTGTAGCCAATATTCTTCCAGAAGCGGATCCAGGTCTGCCTAACTGTTTGCGGCACCTATCACAATCGGCCATGTTGAGATATGGGAGACTTGGGGAACTGGAGGATCTTGAATTGGCTATCAACACCAGTCAGAAAGCATTGGATTTGGTCACCAAGGACAACCCCGTCCTCCCTATTGTGTCATTCTTGATTGCAAATGCCCTTGTGCTACGCTATGACAGGTTAGGTGACTTGGAAGATCTCCATGGTGGAGTGGAGAAGTTCCAAACTGCTATCAAGGCCATATCTGACAGTAATCCTTCCAAACCGCACTATTTACACAGACTGGGACAAGCCTATGGAGTGCGGCACATCAGACTCGGTGATATGCGCGACATTGATTCCTCAATGCAATATTTTCGAGAAGCCTTGCAATTGGCACCTGAAGGACATCCAGGTGTTCCTGCAATTTGTAATAGCCTGGCAGAGTCTTTTGCTCTTCGGTATCTAAGGTCTAATAGCTTGGATGACCTTTCATCAGGCATGGAAGCAGCCAACACATCATTAAAATTGATGCCTCCAGATTACCCGCATATTGCACGAGGACATCACCGTGTTTCAGAATTGTGCATAATGAAGTATCAGAGATTTGGGAATCTGGATGACCTGAAAACCGCTCTTCATAATGCTGAGGCTGCAGTGCAAAAAATGCCCCAAGGAGACCCATATCAGGTACAATGTTTACATATGTTGGCAGAAGCATTCGAAATCCAATACACAATTTCTGGGAGCCAAGACGATCTGAAGGCAGCATTTTCACATTACAGTGCCTCATTCCGACTCCCTAGCAACAATGTACTATTCTCTTGGACTGCAGCCTCGAAATGGGCATCTTTAGCAACGAGAGCACAGCTCCATAGAATTATTGAAGGCATACAAAAGCATGTTCGCTCTGCTGCCAGAGACATTGTGGATAGGCAACTCATTATCTGCCCGTCAACAGGAGGTAACAAGATTTGACCTTGCCCAAACAACCTCAGATGCTGTCGCTGCCTGTGTCAAGCATGAAAATCTGGCACTTTCAATTGAGTTGCTTGACCAGGGACTAGCAACTTCATTTCAGCACATGCTACAGTTGAGACCAGATCTCGGCCGGCTCCCTGAAGCAGATGCCACAAAATTGCATGAAATTTCTTTGCAACTTTATGCTGGGACATCCCCCCAAGCCCACCAGCTGGCAATTGACAGGAATAAATTGCTCGCTGAAATACGCAAGCGTCCTGACTTTGAAAATTTCCTGCTGCCTAAATCTTACAGTGTTCTTCGGAAAGCCGCTGAAAATGGGCCTCTCATCATCCTCAATGCTCACAAAAATCGCTGTGATTGTATTATTCTCCTGAACCCTGCCTCAGATCCACTCCATGTCCAACTGCCAGATGTCACAGCTGCTGGGCTGGAGCATCAAAAGGAAATCCTCAAAGGCCTGCTGTCGAGATGCAATGTCAGGAGCAGGGACTCAGATTCCACTCGCCTCTTTGCAGGCCGTGAAGGATCTCAATCGAAATCGGTTCATGAGAGTTTTGAAGAAATGTTGGCATGGCTCTGGAAGAATGTTGTGGGTCTGATTTATCAGGCTCTGGAAAATGTGTGTAAATAAGTTCTTGATTTTCCCCCCATACTCATATTCCCCTTCCAGAATAATCTCTTTGATGGACGAGTGTGGTGGTGCCCAACTGGAGCATTTACGGGCCTTCCGCTCCATGCAGCAGCCCAATCCGATCAATTCATTAGCTCCTACACAGCGACCATAAGTGCCCTCCTTGAGGCACAATCGTCTCCAGAGTCAGAATTCCCAAAGCTTGGTCTGGTCGGAGTCACACACAGCGGGGGACGGTGGCAAGCAGCACTCCCAGGGGTGAAGAAGGAAATCGATGTTGTTTCTGCTCTTGCTGGAAGCCATCTTTCCAAAAGCCTGGTTGGAGACCAAGCAACAGTTGATGCAGTAACAAAACAGCTCCAAAACTGTGAATGGGTTCATCTGGCCTGCCACGGGAAACAAGATTTACTTGACCCCCCGAAAAGCTGTCTTCAATTGTATGGAGGAACCCTGGAGCTGGAGACTATCATGAGGATGCCTCTGTCTAAAGCCGAGTTCGTATTTCTTGCAGCATGCCAAACCGCCATGGGAGATGCACAGCTGGTTAATGAATCTTTCCACTTGGGTGGGGGGTTCATCGCTGCCGGCTTTCGTGGTTCGATCGGTACATTGTGGTCCATGCGTGGCAGCGATGGCCCTGCTGTTGCGGAAACGGTTTACAAATATCTGTTTCGTGAAAACACTACACCGAAGGTGACAGATGCTGCGAAAGCTCTTCAGTTGGCTGTCAGAAAAATGCGGGATGAAGGAGTTCCTTATGAACGATGGGTCCCTTTTATCCACATGGGTATCTAGGCATCAAGGTGGTTGAAGTTGGGTGTATGTATGATTCCTGTAGTTTTTGCATCACGATTTTTCTTCCATTTCTTTTTTACTATGATTTCGTTCCCAGAATCATGATGTGTAACTTATATAGCTACTAGCAGTTACCCGTGCTTCGCCACGGAGTCAAACATTTCTGCATTCAAACATACTTCCCAGGTTTGGACGAACTACATATCGTAGCAACATTGAACACGCCGCTCGTTTTCAACCTTTGGTTGACTCTTCCCAGCCTTGTGGGCTGTTACAGTTGTTCTGTGGCTATATGCCAATTTATCATGGGATAGCTGAAGGTCAATTTGATAAATTACATCTCAGTGGTGAGTGTCTGCAAGATATCTGAGCATCTGGCTACGGTAACTCTCTTGATATCTATCTCGCCGCCGCGGTTCACTCACCTCATATTCGAGATCAAGTGCCCGGTACCGGTCTAGAGCATGTGTTGGATCTGGCCAGCAGATACTAATGAGAAGGACTTTTAGATGACTCCGAATTAGGGACATACCATAATCTGGGTCAGCCTCCAAACACCTTCTTCCTTCTTCAATTCTCCTGCATAAGAGTTGAGCTCGGAATGGCACATTTTCAACTCCTCGTGTTTTTACAATTTCTCTACGTTGGCGGCAAGTTCTTGCTGCCGCCGCGCACGCTAAGCAGCAGAACACCGCAGATTCATGGATTTGGAACCGGTGGGCTGAAAGAAACTGTCAAATAATAAACAGTGCGTACACAGAGGTTTTCACCTTGTTCTCGTTCTCCTTGGTTTCTTGGTCTCGCCGCATCCTTTGACCCTTCGAGCATCGTTCAAATTCGCTCACAGGCTTCGGGGAGAACACATCACCATGCAAGACGCTACTTTCAACGGATGATGGGACCCATACCTGGCGAAATGTCTCAGAACCCGCAATCTTGTTGCCTTTTGTGACGGTAGCAATGTCGTCCGAGTGGCCCGAAGTCCAATAACGATCTGCCTTCATAGATGTTCATTTGGGATGACGTACATTAATCAGAAAAGGCTCCGGTCTGGCCTGAGACGGAGACTTGGGAAGCAGGGGCCGCAATCTGCGAAGTTGTATGCTCATGGGGAGAAGAAAGGTTGGTTTGAACGGCAAACTCGCGTCGAAGTGACCATTTGGACAGTTAAAAATAGAAATAGAACATTTGAGTAGAGCAGCTGTGGAAAACGCGACAACTCGGTGGATCCTTGGAGCATATGACATCATGCGGGGTCCTGAGAGCCAATCCGAATATACCATAGTCAAATGGTCTTGTTTCGCTGGGACAGGAAGACATCCTTTCTTATATAGATGCTGTTTCAAATGTTGGTCACTAAGCCAGTCCCTCGACATCGTTAAGCCTCGGTAAGTGTCGCTGACCCCAGCCGGAATACATGGAGTTGGGACTGTGCACTAAACCCGATTCCGATCTGTTGATGAAGAATACGTGCCTTTAAAGATATTCGTCATAATTTGAACCACATCCAATTGCTGAATGTTACAGACACATGAGAACGAATTACATGACGAGGATTTAAAAAGGGCCTCTGTGCGTCAAGTAATAAAACAGCGAATATCTCTCTGTGTTCGGGCACAGAGAGTCGAACCCCGGCTACCTGCTGATTCGTTTTCTGGGGGTCTAAGTCACAGCAATTCATCGTCCACTACACGGACTCCTTCCCAGTGTCAGAACCTTGATCAGTGAGGGTCTTGCGAATTTAACAAGATAAAAAGGAAACTCGGCCAACGAACTTCGACTTCGGGCGCGGGGAGTCGAACCCCGACCAACTGCTTGAAGCTCGCATCGCTTTCAAATTAGCGCAGTGGTGCGCCGTGCACCACACCCGATTCCTTCATAGCCTGTGAAGCTGAGGAAGTCAGCTCCATTGCATAAAGTCGGACGCAAGCGATACAAAAGAGTGCCGGCCCATCTATTCGGGTGCGGGGAGTCGAACCCCGTCCAACTGCTTGAACCTAAATTCCCACCAAACGGAACGCAGCGGTGCACCGTACACCACACCCGATTTCAGATGGCGTATGTGGATCTGGGTGAGTACACTGTGTTTGGGGGGGGAAACCTGGCTTCAAACGACTAGAAACTTGCACCGCCATAATTTGTTTTGGGTGAACGTCCGTTACAGCGGTTCCACACCCATCTATTCCGAGGGACTGAAACTGGATAAGTGCAATCACGGCAAGGTAGAAAGAAAGAAAAAGATGGCATTCGGGCGCGGAGAGTCGAACCCCGTAAAACTGCGTAAACCCAAATTACAAATCTATCTCAAATAGTGCAGTGGTGCACCGTACACCACACCCGATGCTTCCTATTCAGTTGTTGAATGCTCATAAATAACCCACTGGATCTCCTGAGCAGACAATTACTACAATAAAGACAAAATCAATGGCGCGATCAGCAAGGCACAGGATTTCGGGCGGACCCGAGTCCCGTCAGACTATGCTGCTGAATCTGAGTCTGCTCATAGAGTAGCGCTCAAGACTAGCAGGAGAATGGGTCAACTGCGATGGAGATTTACGGCGGGTCAAGAGATGGAACCGACGTCGTCGCGGTGGTCCGCCAATGACCCAATATTCAAGCTGAAGGTGGCACAGAGAAGGGGAGCGATTTGGTCCTTCGAGATGCGCGAGAACTTCCAGGGAGAGTCCGATGTTGAGTTTCGAGACGTTTCAGACAAGCAAGCCGGTGAGTTATCATGACCAGCAGTACAAAGCAAAATAAAGCAAGAGGTTAGATCAACTTTCAGCGAAAGGCGTTGAAAGCTCCAGTGAGGTGAGACAGAGTAGCTGTGATAGCGCAGAGGAGATGAGATGTGGACCACGGGCGAGATGGTGGTGGAAGAGAAGAAAGAACGAGAACACACGGAATCGGCCGACGGGTCCGATTTCTCCCGGATCCTGAAAAGGAAATTGCCTCTCGCCCGAACCACGCCTGCTCTCCTCCCGTTCTCCTACCTAATATCTGAAGCGGCTCGCCGGCTTGGATGCAGCGGGGCTTTAGGAATGCTGGTGCGCCTCTTGGTTCTGAGGCTGATTTTTGGCTTATTTCCCTCACCAGCTCCAGACTCCAGTATGAAACCGCGTGTCGACAGTGAATACGACAAAGGCTGGGACGACAATAACTCTCCTTAGAAGTGCGGCGAGAAGCCGATGAGCTACATGTGCGTTGTCGCCTTTTTCAGAATCTTCTTTTCCCCCCCAACTTGAATTGCCAGCAATGCGGTGCTGCGATGCCGCGCGCCGATGGCGAGAATACGCTCCGCATAACCTGCTGCGGAGCGTGTGGTGCGGCAATGGCATTCCCGCGCGCCCGCCCGTGCGCCGATGTGGCGGATGTGGCTCGTCCGTCCGAGCGACCCAGTCCCATATCATGCTCGTGCACGCGCATGTGCCACCGTACCTGTACACGGCCACCTCCCCACTCCCCTCCGTGCCCTCCGTCCATCGCACCATCTCTAACACCGGCCCCACAGGCCGCTCGAGGTGCGCACGCATCCTTTGTGCGCAGATGATCACGACGCCCACACCCTCGTCCCGGCATCGATCTCCAGGTGCGTCGTCCCCCGCCCCGTTCGTCATACCGTTAACGCCGCTACATTGTTACTCCAGCTCGACGTGGCAGCTTCTGACGCCATATCCTCTGCCGCGCACCCTCGGGCTACGGATGGATTGATCAGGCCGATCGCCTGGAAGGTGCATCCTCCGCCCCCGGCAGCGCGCAGAACCCGCAGGATGCAGGATACGATTGGGTGCCGGCGGCTTCTGCGCCGGCATGCATGTACGCAAACGGGGAGGGATGTCGTGCGCATCCTGCCCTCTGCCGTGCGCGTCGGAGCCGGTAGCGGCGCGGGCAGTCGGTGTAGCGCGTCCGTGGGCGCGCTTGTGGAGGGATGGCCCGCGCGGTGCGCGGTGCGGGACGAGCTTACGCTGGCGGCTATCGTGGGTCTCGCCGTTGTGCGCGCGGTGCTCTGATGTCCCCCGCGCGCGGGGCTGCCCTCCTCCCCGCCGCGCGGAATGCTCCGGCGCTGCGGAAGGGGCGGCGGGACATGGTGCCCACGGGCGTCGTGCGCTGTGGCGGCGAGGAATACGTGGCCCACACGCGGGATGCTGCAGGGGCGGAGAGGTCGTGTGTGTTTGTGCGCCGGGCGTGTCGTGGAGGTGTAGACGCCGCGCGCGCGCGTGTTACTGCGGTGGGCCGGGGCAGGCTCGCGTCGGGACCGATCAGGCGGGATCCTCGGAGCGCGTGTGGGGTCGCGTCTCTGCGGCGGGTGCGTGCATGGGGGGAGATCATCGTCCACGGCGCAGGGGATAGGCGACGTAGATCAGGCGGCAGTCCACCGTGAAGGGCTGGGTGTCTGTGTACCTCCGCCTGCGGGAGGTGCCCGTGGCGGCACCGGCGTGCGGATTTGTGCTGGGCAGCGCGCATGTGTGGCGCATGTGAATGTCGGTACATGCGGGCTGGCGTGCGCGGGCTCGTGCGGGGTGGGTGGCGAATCGATGGGATCACGGTGAACGCAAGGAAGGCGGCGCTCGCACGGAGTAGCGTTGCGTGTGCGGGTGCGGCTGCCGTTCTGTGGAGTGCTTTCCGCTGCGCGATGGCGATGGGCGGGCATAGTCCCTTGCCCGCGTGGATGGCATTAATCAGTCGCGCGCAAGCTACTGCTATCTTTCGGGTCGCACGCCGTGCCCCGTGGGTGCGTACTTGTCGTGGGTCCGTACTGCGAACGGGCTCGATGAGGATGGGTGTGACCGTGCGGCTCCGTTCTTGTCCGGAAATCCGACATGTCTCAAGCGTACCGGCGTCTCCCCATGCATCGTAATCTTCCTGTCGCGCCGTCCGAGCACGCTGCAACAGCCGCTGATATTTTGACTAAGGTGGGACTTCGGGGAAATTTGCCGTGTCGATGATTTCTCAGACCACATTAAAAGCCGGGTCTTTCATTCTCTAATTTGCTCCTGCCCAAAACGGGTGGAAGTTGGACCATTCCTCACCTCTCTTACCCTGATGGTTGCTCTGTCAATGACGGCATCTCCTCTTCCACTGTCACCGGCCCCAATGCCGAGTTTATTAAACCATAACAGACCTTTTTTATGTGTGATTCTGTGCAATCCCCGCAGCCATCCTCTACTTTTATCAAGTCGGGGTTAGCAGTCAGTTGGAAGGCTGATTTAAACATATATGGATATACTCGACCTGCGAATTCAAAAGAGACTCGTCCTTCGAATGAGCAGAACCAAGCACCCACCTCATCCTATCCTACGAAGCTACATGCAACTCAAACTCTCTTCGCTCCTCCTCGCGCTCGCACTCACCGCCAGGGGTACCCAGGGCGCCGCACTTGTAGTTGAACGTCAGACCTGCTCTGGCCTGCAAAAGCTCTGCGGTGGAACGTTCGGGCCGTGTTGCCCAGGTCTTTACTGCGAGAGCCATTTGGTTAATGGGGTCGGGGTGAGTTTGCGCTATCTTCCGAGGTCAGGCGGAGCCAATTAGCGTTGTTTCGTAGGAATGCTTTGCCTAAAGAAAGGAAAAGCAGAAAAAAGGATCGAGGATTAATTGTGACTTGGATTAACGGATGGATATGTGCGCCATGCACATTATCGTATGGTTTTTTATTTATTTTACCTACGGTCGGCTCCTCGAGGCGCGCTGTGCCAAGGTGTTCAGGATAGAGCGGCTGAAAGCTTGATGTCCGCAACATCATGCATCCTGCAACACGTTAGAAAAAATTAATGAGATCCAGTGAAACGAAGGCATCCCGGTGGGGAGGTCCAGCGCCGCAATTAGCCATGAACCCCGTGAGCCACCCTGGCTCCAAAACGCTCAGTCACGCTCCCCCGCCGTCCAGATTGAAGTTGTACCATCTCCGCTGAAGTGTGCAGGATCGTACAGCTCCCATGCACCGCCCGCGATCCCACTCGGGCACTGTTGCATTCGGGCCCAAGTACGGTTCAGATCTAAATTAGATTAAACCCATTACATAAAGGAATCCGTTGAACTTAGAGTGTTTGGAGACCCGAGAAATGAGGTCATAAGAATACATGCCCAGAAACGTTCACATATACTTGCGATGCAGTTCATGGCCATCCGGAAAATCCCTGGGTCCCGGTTGAAAAGAATGTTATCTCAGTTCCTCGGAAGTCCAGTGGAATCTGAAGTGAGCACATGCGATAATTGCAGTCAAGCTCTGGTCACAGCATTAATTTAAACCTAGTGATAATGAGTCTTGGGGTGACGCTGGTGAATGCTGGCTCTGGTTTGATCGGGATGCTTGAGAAGGGGGAGTGCTGATGATTTCTCTCCTCGAGCCTCGTGGCAGTGGTCAAGGAAAACAATCTAGTGGCGAACAGGTCAGGTCAGTTAGTTATATAGACAAAAGAACAGAAAAATCTCGGCATGAGGAATTGTAGGCCTCGAAGTCGAACTGAGTGAGTCGAGGTCGAAGTGAGCTTGTAGTATATCAGACTGACAAGTGTCAAGTTCAAGTTGTGATGAATTCTTCCCCAAAAGGAACAGTTTACTGAGCCGCGAGCTACACATCCCGTTTTGGGCCAGATCTACCTCGTCAAGACCCAAACTCAGGGAATATTTTACGGGACAACGGCTTGTTGAATCCTCGGGGCTGTTGAGGATTCAGAACCAGCTCTTTGAGAGCTGTCGATTGCACATTTTCCCGAGATTTTCGGAGTACATAGATATGGGGTTACGGCCAATTTCTTTGGACACACCACAACTAAATGCCCATTTGCGGACGAACGGCTCGTGGAAATCGGTTGGGTGAGGTATGAGCTCTTCCATCTGGAACACTCTCCGGGGTCGAAATAATTTGTTGAGT